GCTGTTGGAATGTAGAGCTCACCTTTTCTCTGTTCCTGCAACATTACCCTATTATCATGCATTTTCAGGCAGCAAGTGTCCGATAGTTACAGTGTGAATTGTTTTCTATTTTCTTCCTCCTTTCAATTTCTTTCAAATACAAAGACTGAGCAAAAATTTCACCTCACCAGGTGTTCAGTGTTACTCTTAAACAAATGGCTATTATCTTCCTCCTGATGAAAAGGAGATTAACTGATCATTCCAGAATTTTTCCTTAAATATATATTCTAATGGTGAAACATGATGAATTCTAAATCTGTTTGACAACTTATAATGCAATAAGCGGTGTTTGGAGTATTATAGCTACTTTAAGCCTGCAGAGTACTCCCAGTGGGAATATTAGAATGTCATTTAGAATTAGAAAAAGGAAAATATGAGAATATTTTAAGGATTAACTGTTCAAAAAATGTACCAGCTAGGGCCACACAGGTCTTGTTAGGATTTAGAATTTGACATTTTATCAGTGGCAGTGATAATGGAATGGCACATATGTTTATTAAGCATAATGAAAGTAGAAAGTCTAGGGAGATTATTTTAGATCTTATTATACAATTCGTACAAGTGATGAAAATGCATGGTTGTTTAATAAGAGGTTAAATAGTGAAAATAAATCAATGGTAAATATGTTACTACCTGCATTTCTTTGCATAGAAGAGCTAGACAGAGAATATATTATGTTCAAAATGTTTTTCAGGAATAATTCTCCTTAAATAAGAGAACTTCACTTGTAGAATAGTCTCTCTAGGGATATGCTGTATCAAATAAAAGAATTATTCTACTGTGATTTTTATGTTTATTGTTATTCACTTTTTTGAATGTGTGTTCAGCTGTAGCAAAACGAAGACTTTTTAGTTCTAAATTAATGTTATATGGAAGAAAAAATGCTTAATTGTAAAATATTAATTTAGCTTTTTGTTTAAGAAGTGAAATAAATCCATCACATTAAAATTAAAATAACAAACATCTTTTAAAAAAGGAATACAATATATGATCAAATGTACTTTCATTCAAATTTACATCCAATTCAACCAGAGATGCAGTAGGAGATAAAAAGTTGGAGAAAGAGGTAAAGAGATGAAAATAATTTTATTTATTTTTTCCTATTATAATCTGTGCTGCAAATAAATAACTTTGAATATATGTCATTTTGCTTGGGTAAAATTAATATAATAATATAAATTCCCAGAAAGACAGACTGAAATGTAATTGTAAAAGACAGAAGGAAAGAGGGAAAAAAGGTAAAGACATAGTGCAAAAAATAGGAGGAAAGATATAGAGACAAAGAAACCATGCCCACAGAGATGCCTGTGCCACAAAGGCATGTATGCAGATACAAAAAAAGGAGGAGAGAGAGGACAAAGCGAGAGGAGGAGTGTCCAGGAGAGATGAAATATCTCTGGAAATGCAGTGTCTTGTGTTGTGGTTTTTGGTTTTTGTTTTTATTTTTTTTATATAATTACAGATTTCTCAGGGATCTCAGTTGTCAGTAGTGATTGATAAGATAGATTCCAGCTCTTTGAGAAGCCTCTGAGAAGTTGAGGTGTTAGGTGCATGGATCGATTCTTTCCCACCCCAGGGAGAAATTGAGAGCTGAGGTTTTTAATCACCAACTACTATTCTATAATATGGATATGGTACATTTTGTTCTATCCATTTATCAGTTGATGAACACTTGGGGATGTTTTAACTTTTTTATTATTATGATTAAGGCTGTTGTAATCATTCGCCTACAGTTTGTTGTGAGCATATGTGTTTTCATTTATGTTGCATTGATATTTGAAGTAAAATTGCTAGGTATATGTTAACTCTATGCTTAACATTTTGAAAAAGTGCCAGAAGTTTCTTTAAAAGTGTTGTACCATTTTACGTTTCACCAGCTATGTATTAGGGTTCCAATTGTTCTACATCCTTGTTGACCTTTGGAATTGTCTATTGGATTATAGCCATCCCAGTGGGTGTGATGTAGTTTCTTATTGTGAATTTGAGTTGGGTTTCCTCTTGATACTAATCATGTTCAGCATCTTTTTACATACTTATTGGCCATTTGTATATCTTTTATGGAAACATTTATTTAGATTATTTGCCCATTTTTAATTGAGTTATTTTTGATTCTCGAATTTTCTAAATTCTTGTGTTCTGGATACACGTCCCTAATCAGATACATGATTTATAATCGACTCCTACCATTCTGTGTATTGTCTTTTCCCTTTCTCCAGATTCTCAATTATGCTGAACTTTTTGTTTGCTTGTCTTGGGTTTTTTTTTATTGTGAAAGTGTGAGAGTCTCTCAGTCATGTCCAACTCTTTTGCGATCCCATGGACTGTCATCCAGTCATGCTCTTCTGTCCATGGCATTCTTCAGGCAAGAATATTGTAGCCCGGCAAGCTCCTCTGTCCAGGCAAGAATACTGGAACAGGTAGCCATTCCTTTCTCCAGGGGATCTTCCCAACCTCAGGATCGAACCTGGGTCTCCTGCACTGCAGGCAGATTCTTTAGTGGTGTCTGAGCCACCACGAAAGCATCTTTTATTGTGAGTTCTCTTTTAAAATCTTTCTACAAGAGTAAGTATAGCCTGTCTGAAAATTAAAAGGAAACCTTAACTAAAATTGGATTTGGGAAGGCCTGTAAAGGGAGCTCTCATGCCCTACCATCTATCCTCAACTACCCCAAACAGGAAGTAATCAGGCACTAGCCTCAGTGGGAATAGATGTATATAGTTCTCCCAAAAAGGAAGGGCAATCACTCTACTTTCCCAGCAGGAGGAAAGAATACTTTCTTCTTGTCCAGCAACAAGTTCAAGCCAAAAGAAAATGCCTAAGCTCAGACTTCACCTGAACTTTTACTTTCTTTCAATTAACTTTCTTCTTTTTACTTACATATGACTTCCTTTCCTTATCCCAATCTCCTTACTATCAAAGCTTTATGTATATCTCACTCATAGTATCTTTCTGGCAGATAAACTTTTCTACCTGATATGAATTGTTTAATAAGCCAATTAGATCTGCAAATTTACTCAGCTGAATTTTGCATTTTAACAGGTGTTTCAAACCACAGATTTTTCAGGAACTCTTGTGTTTTCTTCTACCAAATACCCAAGCCTATCACTTTGAAGTTAGTTAAAAGAAAATTCTCACCTTGATGTTTCAAGACATACAAAGAATTTGATGACAAGCCAAACCCTTGCTAGGGAAGCACTTATTTTCATCTCCACTAAAAATCAAGTTTGAGAGACATTTTTTTCCCCCCTTGCTGTCTGCTTCTGCTGGGCAGGCTTTGTTCTGATTGTCTTTTTATTTTTCAGACTCTGAGCTCTCATTCAAGTGAAGTCTGAGCCATCCCTATTCAGGCTCAAAGTCTAGTCCACAGTGCTCTCCCAAATTCAGTTTTACTAGCAGGCTCTAAGCAGTGGTATTCTATAGATGTTCTCAAAGTAGGCAGTGGTTCCATGCTGGTGTATTTTCCTGGAATGCCATTCAAAGTTCAAGCTAGGGTTCAGATGTGATTTTTTTTTAAATTTCTTTTTTAAATCATTAATTTAAAAAATACTTTAAATGATTTTGACAATTCTATATGTTTTGTCAACCGAGGGACTGAAGAGCTCTAGCGAGTTATACTGATAGACATGAAAATCTTACATAATATTTTATCAAATGACATATAATTCCATCTACCACTAAATGTATATTTACCTTGCAATTAGTTATGATTCCTTTAATATCAGGTGTGCTATATTGTAGGACTGAGATATTTTTGCTTATTATGTAGAAATAGAGTTGAATGTAATTCTTATGACTTCTTTTTTTTAATTGACGTTTGAAAGCCAACTCTTCACACTTATGAGCATGTGGTTTCAAGGCTGCTCTTTGTAGTTCTATTGAAATTGTCTTTCCATTATTTCTTTTTCCTTTCTGGTATCTTATATTCACTCTGTCACCTTATATTAACTATACTATCAAATTTATTTATTTTTATTCTTTATCTCATTGGTTCAAGAAGTTGGAATTAAATTTTTGCTTTTGCTGTTAGCATTCTTTTAATCATGATTTATTCAGGGTACCACATTTATGGTAGTATAAGTTAGTGATAATCATTAGCAATCTATATTAAGATAATCTCTAATAGTACCACTACATATTTTTAAATTTGTCTCTTCACTAATAAATAAATATTGACTATATCATAAAGTATCTAATGACATTATGTGTCTATTTTGCTGCAGATAACTAATTATAATTATGTGTTATAACAGCATTAACTGTGAATTTAAAGCATTTTATCATTAATTTTTTCTGCACCAGTTATGATTCTAAAATAAAAGAGTAAAACCATGTATTACATATAATATATTCAAATTATGTTAGCCTTATATTTGAAAGCTGGATTACCTATACAATTCTAAAATCTAAAAATTCTATGTAGAGCTAACATTTTGGAACTGTAACTTTCTCATGGCCTCTTGCATTTTCTGATTTCTCAAGGTGTAAATAACAGGATTCAATAAGGGTGTGATAACAGTGTAAAATACAGCAAGGACTTTATTGCTGGCGAAACTCTTGAAAGGCCAGACATAGATGAGGACACACGGCCCGAAGAACAGACTGACCGCGGCGCTGCGGGCAGACAGTGTGGACAGGGCTTTGGAGAGGCCCCCGGTGGCCTGCGTTGCACGGCGGCCAGGATGAGAGCGCAGGAGACGAGCAGGAGGAGGACACAAAACAGTGAGCTCAGTCCACTGTCAGCAATGACGAGTAATTCCAGGGTGTGCGCTTCCACGCACGCAGGCTTAGTCACAAGGGGAAGGCCACAAATGTATTGTCTATGATGCGGGGGCCGCGGAAAGGCAGGTGTACCGCCAATACCATCTGACTCATGGTGTGTATAAAACCGATTGTCCATGAAAGTATAACAAACCCGTTCAGCAACCTGTGGTTCATGATTTTCCTGGAGTGCAGGGGTTTACAGACGGCCACATATCTGTCAAAAGCCATGGCTACCAGAAGAGTCATCTCAGCACCTCCAAACAAGTGCATAAAGAACATCTGAGCCATGCAACCCCGTATAGAGATGGTCTTGTGTTCAGTGAGCAAGTCTCTGATCATCTTGGGTGTGGTGACCGTGGAGAGACACATGTCCAAAAAGGAGAGGTTTCCGAGGAGGAAGTGCATGGGAGAATGAAGGGTGGAACTGCAAGTCACTGTGACCATAATGAGAGCGTTTCCCAGCACAGTAGCCCCATAGATCAAGGCAAATGTCACAAAGAAGACAATCTGAAGTTCCCATCCTGCAGAAAATCCTTGTAAAATGAACTCAGTCACTACAGATCCATTTTTCAGATCCATTTGCTCAACTCAAGAAAAGTTCCAGAAGTTCTTTCTTATCTCAGATATTTTCAAGAAATGATTAGTGCCTACAAATTAGAGAAAAAAAATAAATAAATAAATAATGTTGTTCCTGTAGGTTAGCCTCTAGAAGTATACAGAGTGGATACTAAAATGTTGACTGTGGACCTGGGGAGTACACAGAGGACAGCATGACACTAAGCCTTCTATGAAGAGTTGTGCTACATGAATAACATGTAAATGAGCAGTAATATTGTTATTGACACTTGTGACAGTAAATGCAATAATTACATGCATTATGGAGAAATGACAAGGCTTGCTAACTATTAAAATGAAACCAGCTATAATTTGGGAGCCATTGTCTTTGTCACATGGATTTATTTGTTTTACTTCCAGAATTATACTTTCTTCTTTTTTAAAAATAAACATAAAGAAAAGTTTCTATTGTAAATGTTCCTGTTAATGAAAAAGGGACTATATTTTTCACATAGTTCCTATGCTACATAGAATTTTACAACCCATGATACAACTAACGACAGAAAAACCTGAATATGAAATTAATTCAATTAAGCAAAAATTTATTAAAAAGACTTATTTTGGCCTTTTACTTTATTTCAGAGGGAAAGATGACATTCAAGTTGATGACTTTCCCAGCGTTTGTGTCTCTTCTTCTTCCTGAGCCAGTCTTCTCAAAATATTTATTTCTGCACTTAATAGACCTGCTCTTCTATTATGAATACAAAGGCAATATAAATGAAAGGAAAGAAATTATTATATAGCTTAGACAACAAAATGTATTGGTAAAGAAACTTTTATTCCTCTTGAATAACTAATTGCCAATTTCATTTTATTGCTTTCATTCAATTTATGATCCACTTTGGAGAAAATTGAAGGTAGAAAAGTAGTCATTAGCACTAGGAGAGCACTTTCTAATCATTTTTTCTCCACATCTTATTTAGTAAATGAAAAATCAAGATCTATGTAATTAAGTAACTCTCCCCAAGTCCTACGGAGAAGGCAATGGCAACCCACTCCAGTACTCTTGCGCAGAAAATCTCATGGACGGAGGAGCCTGGTAGGCTGCAGTCCATGGGGTCACAAACAGTCGGACACGACTGAACGACTTCACTTTCACTTTTCACTTTTATGCACTGGAGAAGGAAATGGCAACCCACTCCAGTGTTCTTGCCTGGAGAATCCCAGGGACTGCAGAGCCTGGTTGGCTGCCATCTATGAGGTCGCACAGAGTTGGACACGACTGAAGCGAGTTAGCAGCAGCACCAGCCCCAAGTCCTAAAGGCAAGACCACTCCCAAGAATGTGTAGTGAGTATTAGATGAGACAGTGTATGTATAAGCGCCTGGCTTGGCACAGAATGAGCACTGAGAAGGCATATATTGAGTTATTCATGTAAATCCAAGATTAAAGTCTGAGAATAATTTATATAAATCCCTATTGCTGCTGCTGCTAAGTCACTTCAGTCGTGTCCGACTCTTAGCGACCTCATGGCCTGCTACCAGTCTCCTCCGTCCATGGGATTTTCCAGGCAAAAGTACTGGAGTAGGGTGCTATTGCCTTCTCCGAAATCCCTATTAGAAAAGTAATAAACCAAGGCTTGTTTTATTAAGTTATCAGATATGAATATTTCTGCTCTTTCTTATGTGTATACAATACACATTACTTAATGTAACAAGTAAATATTTTCTTTGCCTTTTATTATAGACATTTTAAGAAAACAAACAATTTCAGTATTGATGGATTTTATATTTTTTAAAACCTATGCACACTTATCCTAGACAAATCTCAAAAACTAAGTGAAAGAGACCTAACACAAAAGACTACATGTTATATAACTTCATTTATATGAAATATTTGAAAACAAAAATTCATAAAGATAGAAATTATATCAGTAGTCCCCTTGAGTTGGGATGTGTGTGCCAATGGGCTTTGCTGATGATAATGATTTAAAATCAGATTGTGGTGATGGGTACACAAATATGTGAGTATAATAATAATCATTGAAATGTGTACTTAAAAAGGGTAAATGTATAGAATGTGAATTATATTCAATAAGATGTAAACCATTATATATATTTTAACTTTTATTCTTATTAAAATTTAGTGTTTGTAAGTTATAGTTTTCTAGTACTATACAGCTGCTTGTACTCAAATATATTTCATTGTGAGATAATTAATGACCTACTGCAGTCTAATCAAATCTAGTTATAAATGTATTAATATCCCCTATTTGAATTTATATATTTGGCTACCTTTAGTATTTGGAAACTTGCTCTTCTCTGTTCTTGTTAAACAGTTTCCTTCATACTTTTCCTACTATTTTGAATACTTGTAATTTTTTGGGGGGAGTATTCAAATTTTCCTTCATTCTCTTGAATATGAGGGGTTTCCCCGGTGGCTCAGACAGTAAAAAATCTGCCTGCAATGCAGGAGACCCAGGTTCCATCCTCTCAGTCAAGATGAGCCCCTGGAGAAGGAAATAGCAACCCACTCCAGTATTCTTCCCTGGAGAATCCAATGGACAGAGAAGCCTGACCTGCTACAGTACATAGGGTTGCAGAGAGCTGGACACTACTGAAGTAACTTTGCAGTTTAATACGAACATCCTGTAAGGACTTCTCACTCTTTCAGATTTATTTAAAATCTCATTGTATTAGTGGTAGGTTTTATACAGAGATTTTCTAAATATCTAGTTGTGCCTACCTAATTCTACCTTGCCAACTCCTGTTTCAACTGTCATTATATATGCATACTTCCATATTCTGCCAACACTTGAAGCATGATTCCTATTCTGCTCCATGAGTTTCTAGGTTTTCCATTATTTTCAATGCTAGTATGAATTATCTGGATACTCAGGATTTACTTTTCTTAATTCTAATCATGATTCCTAACCACATCATCTATTGCCATATTTTACTTTGCAATATCATTTTGAGAATATATACCTTTTAAATTTTCATGAAAATTATTGGTTATAGCTCATTGTGAAATAAGTATGTGATTTCATATCTTAGAATCCATAACCTTTCCTTTCAGCCAGCACAGAATTAATTAAAATACCATTTTTGGTGTAGTAACCTTCTAATGAATTAGCTCTCTGTAACATTTTCACTTACCTGCTCTAAAGGCACAATATTAAGAGAAGCATGTTGAAGGCTTTATTCAAAATGAGAAATCTACTTTTCACTCGCTGTGAGTCCCTTCATATGGCTCTGGATACTGTTTTAGGCCTGTGTTATAAAGATGTGAACCACCTTGGAGGCAGATTTGTTGGATCTCTGGGACTCCAAATTTCAGTGGGAGTAGTTAAAACACTGAGGCTTCTGCCATAGTGTGACCAGGAAAGATGTTCACACTTAATTTCTGATCCTGGAATATGCTGTCACTCTCCTGTCATTTCCTGGAGTATTCAAATTTTCCTTTAGCCTCTTGAATATGAGGGGCTTCTCTGGTGGGAAGTTGAAACGATTAAAATAGGCATGAGAGTGTTGGTTGATTGTGATAGTGTAAGTGTAAACAGCTTTGATTTAACACACACTTCATTTTCCTCACTTCACTCCCAAGAAATTTTCTTACATTCCTTCTGACAACTCTGCAGTAATTTTTTAGATGAATAATCAAAAAACCTTTCTGTCTATCAAAACCTTAATATAAAAATTGATCTACACATATTATATAAAAGCACATCTTATGTATATGTTTACATATTACAGAGGTAGAAATTTTCAAAGATAAAACTGAAATAAATTATGTTAAATTATTTTAAATTGATATTCATGAATGGTTATCTGCTTCAAGCTAACTAAAATATAGTGTTTTGTTATTCAGGTATCTTTCTATGAGATTTTTGAGAGAATGTTTATACTTGGCACAAAATAGCTTCAAAATCATTTCTGTGTGCTGCTGTGCTGTGTGCTCGGCTGTGTCTGACTCTGTGACCCCATGGACTGTACCCTGCCAGGCTTCTCTGTCCATGGAATCTTCCAGGCAAGAATTCTGGAGTGGGTTGCCATTTCTTACTCTATGGGATCTCCACGACCCGGGGATCAAACCTGCATCTCTTGCATCTCCTGCATTGGCAGGGGGATCCTTAACCACTGTGCCACCTAGGAAACCCTTTCATAATCATTACCCTTTTTAAAATAAAATATAATAAATTCTTGTTTTGTAAGATGTTGCTTTTACTAAATTAATCATATTGATATTTCTGGTATAGTTTGCAACACAGGCTTCAAAGTCTGTTTCAATAACTTGATAACAAGGGATGCCCTGAATAACTTTTGAATTGGTTGACATCTCTGTTCCTTATATCCAAATCTCTATTTATCTAGTCAAATTCATCATTTAACCCATGGTTTAATATAGCGTTTTTGCATAGATATTGCTTCTTTGCAAGAGTCATTGTAGTTGGGAATTTCTCATATACAAATGTTAAAATTTCCCATAGTCTTGCAATGAGCAAAATTCCTTTCCACAAGACTTAATTTATTCTATCACTATATTTGCAAACATTAGAATTGATTTGTGTGTACTTTCCCATGGTGTTTACTGATAAGGAATGCATTTTATTTATTGTCATATTGCTCATCTTACCCATTTTTACAGAATAGCAGAAAACACAAGTAATTTCTCAGTGGAATGTGGCTTTGTTCATTTGCTATTAATAAGAAACATTCTAAAACACTTTTTATTACATTAAGTGAAAAATTTAAAGCCTTCCATTGATTATTATATGGCTATTAATATTTCAAAGAAAATTATCAGTAGATTCATTATGGTATTATTGGAAAATGTGCTTGATATATTTTCAATATTCTTATGTTTTTTGAGACTTATTTTATTGCCTAACTTGATATCTACCCTAGAGAGTTTTCTATGTGCAGTTGAAAAAATATATATTCTGTTGATTTTGGACAGAATGCTCAGTAAATATCTGTTAAGTTTTTCTGTTCTAATCTGTCATTAAAGACCAATATTTCTTTA